TGAGCACTGCTGTCCAGTGGAGTGCTCCGCCCCTGGTGGAGTTCTGCAGAGAGAGAGAGGGCGAGCCTGTGTCAAGAGCTCAAGAGCACGACAGGGATGCTCTGCCAGTCCGGGTGAGCCCAGGGGTGCTCAGAACCTCTGTGATGGGGGTGTCCTTCATAGAGTGGTTGCTTGTGGTTAAGAGGTAAGAAGAATTTTTCTGTGATTTGTTGTGCAGGAATTCTGATCATGCACATGTGATCTGACTCTGACAGTGTAGCTCTTTCGAGACATGCCAATCAACCCCCCCTCCCTTATCCCTTGCACACCCAGTTCCTGTGCCCTCCGTGACTCCCCCCCCACACACACAGGTCACGGACTTCAAGAGCTGGGCCAGTGACCCACAGCCATGTGTACCCCCCCACCACAGAGCTCACTCCCCTGGTCCAGTGTCCATTACGCTCTGACCCTACACCTATCTTAGACCACCAGGACCCCCCAAGTGCTGCAACCGCCCTTCGGATGAGACGTAAATTCAAGGTCCTGAGTCTCTGTGGTCATTAAAAATCCCAGGGCCTTTCTTGAAAACAGTTGGGGTGCAACCCTAGTGTCCCGGACAAATTTCCCCATGGCCTTTACTAGTCATGGCCTCCTAATAATCTTTCTCTCTGAACTGGCTTCATCACTCTGCTCTCCTCCCCACTGATAGCTGGTGTGTGGTGAGCGTTCTGGCGCACTATGGCTGCCGGCGCATCATCCAGGTGGGGCTGCACACTGGTGGTGGTGGAGGGGATCTCCATTACCTGAAAAGCACTATATAAGTGTAAGAATTATTGAGACTTGATTCTCCCAGTCAATAGCAGGGAAGCATTTTTGAATTCACACATCTGCAGAGCCTGACTGTCCACAGCCCAGCTCACATGTTGCACAGACAATGCATGACCCCCCCCCAGCTCCCCAGGTGCCCCCAGAGTCTGCAGTGCAACTCTGCTCATTGCTGTGCTCCAGCGCCCCCTGCAGACCAAGAAAGGACTTACAGATCCAGTGCCGCAGTCGTGTCAAAGATTTATAGACTGATAAACCAGAGTATAACAAAAATAACAACAGTATAAAATATCCAACATAACTTGACAAAGCACAGATTACATCACTAAACTACACAGGACACATAAAATGCATTTAAACAATCTTTAAAAAAATCTTACAGAACTTGAGTACAAAGGTACATTCAATACTTATTCATTTTTCCTTTCAAGCCTCTGAACGTCTGGGCCTGTGTAGTGTTCGTCATTGGACTTAAGTTTTTTTCTCCAGTTTTTCAATGTTTTCTTCTAAAACGTGTGTGTTTGGATTAGGGCAGTTTAAAAATAAGACGTGGTAGCCAAGTAAAAACTACATTCATGCAGTTTTTTGTTGGTGTTGTGTAAACAGGGTTAAGATTTTGGCAACAGGCGTGTTCCTGGAGGCGCGGGGTCACTCAGCCTGGGTGCCGCAGGGCGCCAGGTTTCTCTGCTTGAAGTACTGGGCCACCTGCTGGGGCAGCTCCGCCAGCACCGACTTGGCCAAGGTCTCCTTCGGGGCCTGGAAAGAGGGCAAAAGACAATAAAACAACCTTTTTATTTGTAACTAAAACACTCAGCTCCACTCCTCATTTCAGTGCTGGGTTGGCACTGAACTTCTGCATTGTCTCAAGTGGCATGAATATTCCTATTCCCAGCATGCCTTTTAATGGCCGCTTCCACGATTCGGAGCACCAGGGCCTCAGTGTGACCTGCTCCTGAAAGAGCACAGCGCAAGGAGATCCTCAGCCTCACTAAGAACAGTGCAGAGGTGCCAGCAGCCATGTCACCCTGCAACTCCCAGCTGGCAGACCACTGGAGCCCAGCAGGTGTGAGCCTGGCCAGTACCTGGATGGGAGACTCCTAGGAAAGCTAAGGTTGCTGGTGGAAGAGGTGTTAGTGGGGCCAGTAGGGGGTGCTCACCCTGCGGTCTCTGTGGGTCCTAATGCCCCAGTATAGCGACAGGGACACTATACTGTCCTTTGGATGAGACGTAAAACCGAGGTCCTGACTCTCTGTGGTCATTAAAAATCCCAGGGCGTTTCTCAAGAAGAGTAGGGGTGTTACCCTGACCTCCTGGCCAAATTTCCCATTGGCCCTTACCAATCATGGCCTCCTAATAATCCCCATCTCTGAACTGATTTCATCACTTCTCCTCCACACTGAGAGCTGGTGTGTGGGGAGCGTTCTGGCACACACTGGCTGCCAGCGCATCATCCAGGTGGGGCTGCACACTGGTGGTGGTGGAGGGGATCCCCATTACCTGTAAAGCGCTTTGAGTGGAGTGTCCAGAAAAGCACTATATACGAGTAAGGAATTATTAATTATTATTATTTTAGGGTTTAAATCACTGCTATAGCAGTCCCAGCTCTGGCCTTCCCACTGCCTCCAGGATCTCAGCAGTTCTGCGCTTCAGCTGTGCTGAGCTGGGGCTGAGGACAGAGGCCTGTCTCCACTGCTCTTGGCTTCAGGGATCACCTCAGGCTCCGAGGATCTCTGGCCTTGATGGGGCCAGCACATGCTTGATTGCCTCTGAATCCCCCAATTACTGTACCAGCATTGCCCTGACCTTGCAATTAGCGGTCTAATTAAAGTGGTTGTTCAAACCACCCTGAAGTGCCTGATGCACTCCTGTCGACCAGACTCCATTATAACTGCACTGCTGAGCGCCCGCTGGCTGGCTCTGTCCTGTACACACAGGCGCCAGCCCAAGCGCACTCTCCCTGACAGCCCCAGGCCAGCACAGCGGGCTGCTCAGATATTGTTTTACAGAAGGATGGCGGTGACGCGTTGGACAGACAGGGGCGATTCTTACACCAGACAAGTCTAAACAGAGAATGGCTGTGCTGTCTGAATGGAAGTGTTTTGATATGAAACAGGGAGGCACGGTTAAAATACAGTGGCTCAAATACTCAGCTATACTTCGGAACCAAGAATTCTAAGTCATAGGAGCCCAACTAGAGTGGGCAGCTTTAGAGCAGCAGTAGGGAGCTATAAAGGAATAGGCAAAGGTTTATTCCATGTAGAAAAGAGAAGAAAAGAAACACAACGTTACAGCTGTAGAGCCTTCTTCTGGGGTGAGAGAGGGGAAACCCATTTTTCTTCTCTTTTCAGAATAGAATAGACCTTTACTTGTTCCTTCTTAGAGCAATATACTGATTTCCTAGAACAATGTCCTACAGATAGGTGCAAGGGTCAATCAGTTCCTGGCAAATAAACAAATAGCTTCTTTGAAGCATCTTTTACATGATAATGGATTATTAGAAGCAATAACATATTTCCCAGGAATTACACACTGATTTTTTAGAGAAAGCCTGGGACACAGACAGGGCGCGGGACACGTACATTTCTGAAATCTCGGAACGGGACAAACTGGACGATGTCTCTGGCCGCCTCCTCCCCTGTGTAGGAGCGCAGGATGCGGTTGTCTCCGTCTAGGAACTCCATGGCGGCGAAGTCTGCGTTGCCCACGCCGACGATGATGACGGACATGGGCAGCTTGGCGGCCTGGACGATGGCGTGCCGCGTCTCATCCATGTCGCTGATCACGCCGTCCGTGATGATCAGGAGGATGAAGTACTGCTGCAGAGGGGGAGACGGGATCCGCCGGTCAGCGCCGGTACCGCAGAGCAGAGCTCGGCCTGGACTCGGCCACACACTCGCTCCTTGCGGGTCACACCTCCCCACGCTCACTGTGCCCCGTTCTGTGTCACCAGAGCCCCACTGCCACCTCACTGCCCTCACAGAGCCCTGCCGGAGTGATGCCAACCCCTCGGAGAGTGAGCAGCTTCCCACAACACGATCTCCCCCTCCAACTCAAACCCAATCCGGATGCGGTTCTATACCCAGACGCGGACCCGGGCAATCTTTGGGAAGCATGAACAGAACAGCACACTGCACAGCTCGCGAGCAAAGCGCACAGCAGGGGGCCGACGCCCCAGGCCCTGCTACAGCTCACAGCGAAGAGCAGCCACACGCTGAGGGGTTCGGGAGAGGACCTCTTGTGCTGCTCGTTAACACTGAGGCTGACACCGAGAACATAATCACACAGCTGCACTTTCATTCAGGCCACTAACCTACTCCCCTCATCGAGCCTCTTAACGTTGGGGAGGCAGAGCACATCAGTTCAGGGGCTGACGTAACCCCCAGATTCAGCCTCGGCACTTCGGTCAGAGTGTCTGTAACGCATTTCTTCTTGTGGCTGAAATGGCCCGTTTGTGCTTCTAACATTTTTAACAGGAAACAGGCAAGAGATAAGGGGAAATTATAAAGACAGATCTTGCCTTCAGCTACTTTTTATTTGCTAGGCTCTGTTTGGCCTCAGTGCACAATGTCTTAATTCCAAGAGCATTCTGTTGTTTCCTATGCTTAAGCTTCGTTAACTCCAGAACAGCACAGACACCCAAGTGCCTGGGCAGATCAGTATCGGGGTGTTCTCCTGCACGTGAAAGAAAGCAGACAGGGGCTGTCAGAAGGCATTTCAGAGAACCGTGTTGGACTGTTTGCAGAGCTCTTGTGAAGATGTATTGCTTGTTACTAAATATGTCCCGCAGATACATACGTCACAGCTGTTTGGATACTGTCAGGACACAGAGTGGAGCCCTTCTTTTACAAACCCTGCCAAACTGCAGCAAAAAAGGAATGATGCCTGTTTCTCATCATAACGTGCTAAAGAACTTTAATAAAAGAAGGAATTTGCAGATTCTGAAGGGTGTAAATTTGCACCAGTATGTGTTGGAAAAAATACACTTCTTTTTATTCCTTAGTGCCTTTTATATCCTGCAGTCACATTCAATAAAATAAAACTCATTACATACATTACGTACTTTGTGGTAGAACTATATAACGTTTTTAAACGCCACACTGAAATTTTGATTTAGAAGTGCCTGAATGTGAAATGACCCTGGAACTAACCAACACTACAAATTTCACAAGAAGGAGTCACTTTGTAACGATTAGACCTACTCACAACTATGTGTGACCCTTTCACTAGGCTGAAGTTCAAATCCGTGAAATCCCAGAGAAAGCGTCAGCTCAGATGACTGCTGCTAACACATTTTCACTGACCGAACAATGAATAGGAGGTATTACATAACTTATGCTGCAAATTATATTTTGTATTAGCAGAATTATAATAAAGAAATTAAATGTTGGGTAGAAATGCTATTGTAAGGGTCAGGATCAGATCTTTCAACATCTGACTGCAGTTTTGCAGTACATGAAGCAAAAGAGGCTATTTTCTCTTTCCACATTCTTGTCACATCCCACACTAAATCATCCTCGAGTCTTCCTGGCCTTTAAACTGCGAGCTGTGGTCCAGCCCCCCCAGAATACTCTGCAGCTCGGGCTCCTCTGGAGTAGTATGGGTGGTTCTCTAGCTCAGGATTCACAGCTCCGATACTGCTGTGTCTCTTAGTTGATCACTCGCTGACTGTACTCCTGGCTGGGTTCTGTGATGCTGTCTTTCCCTCCAAAAGAACAGGACTCTTCTTCTGAGAAAATAAGCACCCTTCTTCCACAACGCTTGGTCTCGTGTCATGATGTGACCAGAAGGATGTTCGACTGAAATGGGTCGGAAGCAGGTGGTTCTCCATCCAGTGCAGTCTTTACTTATGCACATAGTTCTGGTAGAGAAGAGTGACCCGTACAGAGTTCATCTCAAGGTCTAATATTTTGGGAGAGTAACAGACTACACCTACCCTGCCAGGAGCTTCACCCGGGAGCGGAGCAGGCCCGACTGTGTCTGCGGTGTGTTCATCCTGGGCCAGCCCCAAGGGAACTGGCTGCTGCCGTCCTTTGCGATATCAGTCCAACTCCTCCCTGCCCCCTCCTCTCACCTGTGTGCTTTGCCTGAATTGGAGAGCTTTCAGCTGCCGGTTGTTAGCAGTCCTACAGCTCCTTCCTCGAGGTGCCGGCTCAGAGAGGGGCACCTTCACCAGCGTGCCTCTGATACTGTTCCTCTCTCCCACTGCTCTCCTTCAGAAGTCCAGCGCTTTCATGTGCAGGCAGGCTTAATTACGGGGAGCTCGTTAGCTGCAGAAGCCAGGGAACCCCCATGCAGATTTCTTCTTTTTCTTGTTTTAGAAAAAAACAGCCTCGCAGATTTACGTTTGCCCCTCCGAAATGTTTCAAGAACCGCCCTGCGGCTGCGCGGAGCTGTGCGGATCATAGTTGTGGAGACACTTGCTAACACTCGCATCTGCTGTCTGCTCTTCAGAGAAGTAATGAGTCAGAAAAGGTGAAAGTACAGTGAAAGTAACAGAGCTTCTGTCAGAAAGGCCTTTTGGTTTTTTTAGCAGAGCACAGAGCACAGCAGTCTGCCGGGCTGCTTCCCCGAAACCAGACATGTCTCATTCTGGGTCTAAGAGAGGCTCCATTGCATCACTTGCTCCTATAAAACATGCGAAGTTAGTCTGCTGAAGATCTGACACCGACAGCACGCCCCCCACACCCTTCCTCTCCTGCACTCCAGCTGGCTCCTGTCAAACCACAGTGGCTCTCTGTGCTTCTCGTGACAATGGCCTGATTCTGTGGAGCGCTACTGTGACTGGCTACATGCCACTGGATGCACAAGAGTAAGTCATGTGTCATCCAGCTCGAACTGCAGGCCATGCAGGCCCTGTGTGAGGACACAGCCTGGCACTGCCGCCCAGCCCTCAGACAACCTACTGGAACAGAGACAGCAGAGCCCAGAGACAAAGGAGTCTAAGAAGATTTAAGGGCAACTCTGCATATGACAGATCTGGAAATGTTTGTTAAAGGCAGGAGAACTCCCGTATTCCTGGGCAGCACAACTAACCAGTTTTGGACATGTCTTAAGATTACTGCACATGACCAGCTTACAGGAACACACTGTGTTTTTTCCCCCAGCACAGTAAAAGAGCATGTTACAGCATGCTAGGTGACAGGATGCAATTAAGAATAAAAAGCTCTCTGCTTTCAGGCCTCTCCAACAGAAACATAGTAGTGAGTAGCTATTATCTCCTCTCACCACTCTGACACCCCTCAGCTGCCTACAGAGCAGAGTAAACACTCACAAAGCATGACTTCAAGACACTTGCACATTAAACTCTTTGTTTTTTTTAAGGATTAAAGGCTAATGCAGAGAATAGAGACTGGTTCATCCATCCACCACCAGAAAGCTACTTATGACCTATTCCTACTTATTAAGGGTCATGGCGACACAGAGCCCGTCTCAGACACTCAGAGCACAATGCGGGACAACACCCTGGTCTGGACACTGCACACTAGTACTGTACATCACAGGCCACAGGCAAGTACGCACACACTCGTGCACGCACACAGAGAAACAGTCAAGACACATCCAGCCAGCGAGTCTCTGGCCGGTAGGAGGAAACCGAAGAAGCTGGCGGCTGGAGAACGCCCACACATCTGTGAGACGAGCACGCACACTCCACACTGAAGGCACCCCAGCCTGGAACTGAACCCAGGACCCAAGAGCTGTGTTTGACACCTGCGCCTCTCAAGGACATTCTCCACACTGCAGGCAGAGCAGTCTGTGTCCAAACAGTCCTGCGCCTCCTGCTCGACGAGGTATCAGGCACTTATCGATCCTTCGGATTCTTCCTTCTAAGAACTAGAAGAATTCAATCACGTGCAACACAACTGTGCTTGCGAATAGTATCCCCTCTATATATACTGTATATCCTTAATTGAAAGGGACTGAAACAGCCTCTGCTGAGGGCTGATAAAAGAGGGGAGTTCAAAGCAGCTCAAGGTACTTTGAACTAGCAAGATCCAGCACAGTGCTGCACTTCTCTCTGCAATTAGCACAGGAGCCGCAGGTCTCTGCTCTGCTGGCCGCACATTGGCTCGTACCATCGACTAAAACACGCCATCTGCTCGCTCCTGACAACAACACAGCACTGAGGACCGAGTCGCCCCTCCGGGAGACCTGAGACTCCACAGCAAGCACGCCCCTGAAGCAGCTGTCCCTGGAGGCCCTGCCACATGTGCATCGCAAATACTGCAAGGCATGACAGCCTAGATAAACACCAGCTAGACCTCAGCCCTCCTGAACTTCAGACTTAATTTTTGCTATGTACTATGTACTGTCAAATAGCAATTTTGGCGCAGTGATTCCAGGCAAAGCATTGTGTAATAAGAGTGTGCACAGTGCTGAAGTTCAGGACCCAGGCACTGCTCCAGCTTACCACCTGCATCAGTGCGCTCTCCATCACCACATACTCTCTGTAATCACCCAGTCGATCAATTAATTCACTGCACGAGGGCAGCAAGTACAAATCCGGAGTGGAATGTGGTCAGAAGGTGCAAATGTGAAAGCCTGGAGACTGGGGCGTGGAATTCCTGTTGTTCCTGTTTTTCCTCCTCAAGTGCTCTGTGGTGCCAGCAGTGGAGCAGTACTGCCGTCTCACGGGGTGGGCGGGGAGCAGCGCTGAGGTGATGAAATAGCCCCCTAACAGGCCCGCGCAAACACACACACAGAACCGAACACAACTACTAATCGCCACCCCTGTCCGTCTCTTCTTCGCTCCTGGTTTTTATGACGAACATTTCCAAAGACCCCTTAAGGGCCACATCTGCATCCTCCCTCTTCCGCTTCCTTTTTTCTTTTCTCGCCCCTGCTGTAGTATTTTCGAAATTTGTCCCCGTCTCTGCTTGTGCTTGCCATTTTCCCACCGGCTGACGGTTTTTCCAAGCTAGTTGAGTTCTGCCGCGATCACAGCTGGTGGCCTGTGACGCAGTGAGTGTGGGACACATCCCAGGACTGAATAAAGCATCTGCTCTCCCACCGACTTTAGATTTCATCGCCAGTTATAATAAAGGTTTTATGTGTCGCTTTATTAAAATATTTAAACAAATAAGTGTTTATGTCTTTATGCGTGAGTGAGGCGGGATTGGGGGGGCTCTGGCCGGTGCGGGGCCCTGGGTGGCCACCCCCTCCTTTGAGACGGCCCTGGCTGTTGGCATCATCCACTGGAACTTGTAATAATGGCTGTTCTCTCCAAACCCCCACTGCTCAGCGATGTGTCACCTCATCACACAAACACAGCCTTTCCTGCGAGTCATACGTCCCACGATTACATCTTTAAAGACTCCTTACGTGACCCACTGTCTTCTCATTTTTAAACATGCAGTAATGACATAAAACGTCCTCCCCGTCTCCAATTAAAGATCTATTTTTACCCGCGATTCAATGCGAGAAAGAGCAGCTGCACCCCTTCAGCAAGCCTGGGCAGTCCAGGCCTGCTGCTCCCGACGCCGGATATCGGTCCACACTTACCGCGGCCACCTCCTGCTGCACGGCCTGCGCCGCGAAGCGGGCGACGTGGTTTATAATCGGGGAGAAGTTGGTGGGGCCGTAGAAGCGGATGTGAGGCAGACAGGCCGAGTACGCCTCCGCAATCCCTTCGACGCCTGGGGGGGGAGACGAGCACTCGTGGGTAAGGAGAGGACACAGCCGCGCAGAACAGCAGCCGGACGGCCGACGGCACCTACCTGAGCAGAACGGGTTGGTGGGGTTGAAGTTGATGGCAAACTCATGCGACACCTGCGAGAGCGAAGACACACAGTCAGAGCCGAGTCTCCGGCGGGACCGCGGGCTGGCGAATTCCCACGGAGAGCCCTTGTACAGGCGGGGCAGAGCACTGACGGAGCACCAGTCCCCCTGCTGTGATCAGGCCAGTTCCAGCACAGAGGAGTCAGGGCAGCCCAAAAGGGAGCACGCAGCAAAGGAAAGGCCAGGAATGCCAATACATACGCGAGAGCAACGTTAACGTGACAGCCAGGGCTGTCCCGAAACCCTCCTGCTGCTCAAGGCCTGAGCTCTGTATTTCTGCTTCTGATGGTTGGACTAGTGTTCCAGTCTACACACAGTCTTTCCAGCTGTCTGCAGCACTGCAGCACCAAGCAGAAGAACTTCCCTTTCCATCAGTTACCACATGCCTGTCTGCTCCACTTAAAATCTCAAATAATTCCATCATAATCCTGCACCAAACTCCTCATCCTGTCTTACTTATTTTAAATACTTTCTCCACAGCACCATAGAAACCGCACAGGGAGTAAAGAGGAGCTTTTCATTACTTTCACTGAAAATTACAGCGAGCGAAAACCACTCGTAGGCCAGACCTAATTAAGGTAATAGCCTGTGAATCCAAGCAGATCAAGCAAGTTAGAAACACCATAAACTGCCTGAACTGTGACAGGAGGGAGCATGAGACTGGATGAGAGCTGTGCCCTTGCAGGGCCCACACCAGCCAGAAGAGAGACCAGGCCTCCTGCTCCATAATCCCTTAAAGACACGGGGCTTCTGCCCAGCAGAGGGAGGGAGGCGAGATGGGCGATGAGCTCAGCCCGTCTCACGGGTGAGACACGGTGAGCGCTGAGACAGTGGTCTGTCCTGGTGTTGACTTCCACACAGCTGAAGTGCCCCAGCTGGTGAAGCAGACTTTGTTCTAAATCACTGCTGTGACAATTCCTTCAGTTTTGCCCTGAGACGTCTTGGTTATAATTCCTTGGTCATGATGAAATTTCCTAAACAGAACAGGAGGGGGCAATTCAGGGGCCTAGAAAATAGGAATATTTACAAAACTGAGGAAAACATTCAGCCTAGTAGTTAATTGATTATGTGAAATCATCATGACCGGGTAGCTTGTTCCAGACTCCTACTACCCTCAGTGTAAAAGAGAACCTCCTGTCCTTAATGCTTAAGTTCCTAAGGTGGAAAAAGGATCGCAGATGTATATATGTTTTTTAATTAAGAGCTCTTCACTGTTACTTTATGGTAATTTAAATCATTTGATTGAAGATGCCTCAGAAGCAGCCTTGAAGGTGGCTCAGGCACGAAACAGATGATGCCCAAATGTATATTATAACACATTGATCTTCACAAATCAAAAAAAGCTAAAAATGACTAAGTCAAGGGGAAACGGAATCTGCAATTATCTCTGTAGGTCATAATAAAGACAGGGACTGCCTGCAAAATCTCTTCTCTCTAAACGAGCCAAGATACAAGGCTAAGGGAATAGTAGTGTGCGTCTTTTGAAGTGGGACTGACAGATCACAGGCTCGGTGAGAAAGATAACAGCTGGCATCCATCCAGCTGCTCTACCTGTTGCCCCATCTCTCTACTGCATCCAGACGTCAACGAGCAGTGCTGTCATTCCCCCACGGAACCTTCCGGACACTGTTGTCCAGGAGAGATACTGTCACTTTAACACCCAGGATATTTCGGTCACATACCACATGTATCGTTAACTTACAAAACAAATGTTTTTACCTTCCAGTCAGGGGGAAGCTGCGCTCCAAATCCTAGAGCAGGAAACATTTTGTCCCTGAAAGACAAAGCGATAATAATAATGATTCGAGTCATAAGAACACCTTTTTCCCCGAGTTCATAGGAAAAAAGAACCCACAGCAAAATTCTGACCTGTTGCTCCTACAATTTCTTTCAAGAGGTCATTCTCGATAGAGTGACCAGTTACAATCAGCATGTGACCGAGACCACAGGGCACAGGCACCCTGGCGTCACTCAAACGCGCACTGACTCTTCTGTAATTTTCCTGCTAATTAACTTCCACATCTGAAAAGCAGGACAAAGGCCACAGAGGGATAGGACTCCTGATCTACAGCCTGGTGACTGATTGGAGCACCTAAGCGGCAGCAGTGACAATCCAGATGACACCAGGCAACTTATCCAAGGAGCAGGAGATCGTACTGTTCCCCTGCTAGAGCCCTGTGCTAGTTTCTCATTACTGCCTTCCCCTTTTCCAAACCTAATTAGAGCAAGAGATAAGACCATTGCCCATGCATGTCCTTTTTATCCAGTCTCCTGTGTTTTTAGCAAACTGGGGCACTTCGTAGAGAGACACTTTGCTGAGCAGAAAGCATCACAGTGTTCAGAAATCAGGAAGAGAGGGGGGGGCTCTGGCACATGCTTGCCCTAGCATGTGGCAGAGACTGATTGGCCCCGGGAGAAAGTCTTGATTGGGTGGACCTCTGTTCTGCTGAGAAATACCCACTCTGTGTTACTAAATGCATACCACATCTAGAACCCTCAGCAAAATACATAACCTTAACCCTGACCCCAACTCCCAGTCTAACCTAAAACTGATCCTAACTCTGACTCTGAACGTAGTCCCAATCCCAACTGTAATTCAAACTCCAAACACAATTCTATCCTGATTTCCAAATGGACCCTAACCTTAACCCTAACACTGATGTTCATCACTGCCCTAGTGCAATACCTATACACCTATACAAATACACATACAAACGACAAGCCAAGCACCTTCAACACAGACAGTGTGTCCTGACTCACGTGTCATAGTCCTGTATGATCTGGCCCACTGCCCAAATGGCAGCCAGGTACTCATTGGTTCCCATGGGGTTGATGTAATGTAGGGAGGAGGGGTCTCTTGGGTTCCCATTGGACGCTGTGAAGTCGATGCCCACCTGAAACACAAACATGCATAGAGCTGGTCAGGTACCACCCTCACTGCTGCCACGCCAATGGAGTTAAGTGGATGGCTCCTATTAATCACGTTACAACTCAAGGCACAAATGGACATTCTAATCAGGACAAAAAAAAACTGACATTAGGACCGATTTTGTAAGTGGTTAGCATTTCTGCCTTGCAGCACTGGGGCCCTAGGGTGCTATCTGTGTGGTATGTCCTTCTTGTGCTTGCGTGGGTTTCAGAGAACACCGGCCCTGGTGAGAGAGTGTGCGTGTGTGCCCTGTGATGGACTGGCGTCCTGTCCAGGGTGTACCCTGCCGTGTGCCCATTGCTTGCTGAAATTGACCCTATCTCCACAGTGACCCTGAATCAGAAGAAGTGGTTAAAATGGATGGATGGATAAATATTAATTAGATATTACTAT